AGGCTATGGGCGGGGCTGAAAGGTATAGAAGTGTGCAGTAATTAGTAAATATACGTAGATTGTCTTTTTCCCTGAATCTTTGGTCCATGCATGAGAAACTAATTGCTAACCATTTCTTCCTACTTCAGCCAATACTACACAAGGTTCAAATCATATTGTTGCGAAGCATACAATATCCTTCGAAAGTCGAGTAATCTTATCTTAAATTTATTTCACCTGATGGCGGGTTCCAATATTCCCGACATTGCTTCTGATCCTGAAAAGGGCATTCTTAAAGTGAGTTTCTTGTTCGGTTTGGTTGGACTCTTAAACTAAAGTATTCTGTTCTTGTTCTGATGGAGAAGTTGATGGTGTTACAGCTTCAGGAGAAATTTCGCCTGGATTTGGATGATGAAGCCTGTATACATTTCTTCCAAGATCTTATTAATGAGAGCGTTAGTGCGCTATTTCCTCAAATGGTAGAAACAATTCATCGCTGGGCGCAATACTGGCGATGAGCAGCCACCCACAGGACGTGCAGATTAGAGAGTAGATTGGTAGTTATTTATAGTTGTTCAAAGTCTCCGCCAGCAATATTCATCCTCTTCTTCCCCCAATTGCAAAATAAAACTTCTTCAGTAGATAAGTGGCCGAGGTTCTTTGCTATGACACTGTAAAAATTCGAACTTATTTTTATAGTTTAAGCAGCGTGTCAGACTTGGCATTTATTATTTCATCGAATTTCATACATTACCCTTTTGGCTTACGTGCTACTGTATCTCCTTCGTTTGCAAAATAATTGTGTGTGTACAACAAGTCATTCATTCCTCCACTAATTATAAAGGTGAGGTGTTTCCGCTGGTAGAGAAAGTCGAAGAAGAGTGAGATCTTGAAAGAGGGGAAATTTGGAAGTGCGCAGGAAGAGATATTACTCATAAATATTTTATGCCTAATAAGAACTATCACAACTAATGGTTTTAACACTAAATTCTAAATTTTTTGACATTCAATTTCAATATCATAAAAAAAAAAATGATAATTCTTTTGTCTCAATAAGATTTGAGTGTTTAACATCTTAGTTTGGTTGTTCACATGTACATTTAACTAATTAAAAATCAAATTAAGTTCATAGACAATTTTTAAAATTAAATTACAAACTTAACCATTGAATTTTTTAAAAAATAATATAATAATTTATTTTATCGTACCAAAGCTAAATGCTAATGAACACTACCACTGGCCACTTGGCGCCAATTAATTGGAGGGACAGCGGACTTGAGATGCAAATTCGATTTAGGGGTAGAATCGTATTTCCGCCCTACCTCGATCGCTTCTTTATTAGGCCATCCTAGCAATATTCTTCCTCCAGCGCCATATTACGCGTTGCTCTGAAGCTCGATTTTTCTTGCTCTCTCCATCCCTTTCAATACACCTCTGGCCTCTTTGTGTAGCTCTCGGAGGTAATTCCAATCTTCTGAATCTCGATCTGCTTTCGTTCTGTGAGTTATACTTTTGGAGAATATCGATGGATTCATTCCATTCCGTTCTTGTATTTCTCCCTCTCTCTCTCTTTGCTGTTGATTATATGTCGGAGTTAGGCACTTCTTATGTGTCGCCAACGGTTTTTCTGATAATTAAATCGTTTATTTCAAGAATTTCAATGATTATTTACTTCTGTTAAAGGATTTCTGTTCGATTTCGAACTCTTTGACGTGCTTGACGGATCTATGGTTCCGATCTGTTCTGTTTGGGGCTTAATGTTTGTTTTCGTAGATCTTGGTAATGGAATGCTAGTTATTTAAAGGAACTGTGTGAGCCAACCAGTCTTTCAGATGATCACGATATCGATCTCGCTGTGTCGCCATGCATTATATCATTCATTTGCTCACCTTCTTCTCCGTGCAGTTGAATGCACGGAGTAACTTCCCTGGATTTCTTGTGCTGGCGTTTTTTTACTGGAGATTTAATCTTTTCTTTTATGATTCAACAGTGTTCTAAATAATTTTAGCGATTATTCCGGTTCGTGATCATTGTCATTTCTCCTTGTGAGTATCATACTTTTGCTTCAAATATGCAGGAACTTTAACGTTACGAACAGATATGGGGCTGACTTTCGGAAAGCTCTTCAGTCGGCTGTTTGCTAAGAAGGAGATGAGAATTCTGATGGTTGGCCTTGATGCTGCTGGTAAGACGACCATTCTCTATAAACTTAAGCTTGGAGAGATCGTCACAACTATTCCTACCATCGGTAAGCTTTTTATCCCTCCCTTCCTTTCATTCTTTGTATGTAATTTTGTTTTTACGCTACTTAAAAGATTGTGTAATCATTTCGGAGGAGCTACTAGTCTTATAATTATTAGTATGCTTTCATTGATGTGATTGGATCCCCTGACATCAACATTTGACATTATAATTGATTTTTATCTTTATTGCAGGATTTAACGTGGAGACTGTGGAATATAAGAACATCAGCTTCACTGTTTGGGATGTCGGTGGTCAAGACAAAGTATGAATTTAGAAGTCTATTTTTCATCAGTTGTTAGCTGTGTACAAGCTTCTCAGCGCATTTTTCTCTCTATAATTCAATCGATTCATGAATGATTAAACGTACTAATAAATGACATTTGCCTTCCCGCAGATTCGTCCATTGTGGAGGCACTACTTCCAGAATACGCAAGGTCTTATATTTGTGGTGGACAGTAACGATAGAGACCGTGTTGTTGAGGCAAGGGATGAATTGCATAGAATGCTGAATGAGGTGTGCTGAATGTCTGCATCATTCATTAACTTTTATTGTTGGGATCTATAGATTTCATGTTATCCACACTGTCAATAGAGATATCGTATTTAGTGTTAAATATGACAATTTAAATTCTAGAGTTGCAGTTCTTAGCCAAAGATTGGAGGATGATCAATGGTAACTTGATTTTCTGTTTCGTACTATGCTCGGTATGCTTGCGTGTAGGAGTTGCATCAAATAATTAAACCACTTAAGAGGAGTCCTAATCGTGAAGTTTCTTAGTGGATAGATTTGATGATATTTTATTATGGCATGCCACATGTATGGAATTCGTTTCTTTCTGTCCAATGAAAACCAGACCAGAATGATTTATGAATCATTATAGGAGATTAATTGTGTTTCTTTGTGCGTTGTATTTTTTTTTTTTTCTCTTATATCTTTTGGGCAAAAATTATAATGTCTTGAGTTAATTTGGCATGTATTTTCGCTTGTCAATATTTTGTGCAGTCCAATGACACACACTCGTAGACGACATTGGTTTCAAACTACGACTAGTAGTTAACCAGGATTGAGCATGGCTTTGTTTCAAACTACTACCCCATTTCTACCCAGACAAATCATTCTTTAATTTCTCCCCTTTATTTATTTTACCCGCTTGCTCCTTGGTTTTTATTGGTCAATTATTTTATTGGGTCAAGGACATGTATGTAAGATGGAATTGCGACTGAAGTTTTTTTGATCACTGACTTCAGGATGAGCTTCGAGATGCAGTATTACTTGTGTTTGCTAACAAACAAGATCTCCCCAATGCAATGAATGCCGCTGAGATTACTGATAAGCTTGGTCTTCACTCTCTTCGGCAGCGCCATTGGTAATTCCATCCATTACCATTTTTGCTTCATACATCTGAAGTCTGATAACGTCTTGTGGTGTTTATAGGTATATCCAGAGCACCTGTGCAACCTCCGGGGAAGGGCTCTACGAGGGTTTAGATTGGCTCTCAAACAACATTGCTAACAAGGTACGTGCCCTTTCCTTGTGTACCGCCTAAATTTATAATTAGTGGCTCGTCTGATTTATTATCTTTAATTTACCTTTATTCATTTTGGGTTTTATTATAAAAAAAAAAAAATGCCCACCTTTTTCCTTTTTTAATATTGAACTTGATATTTTGAAAAGCCTTTTCATATACATATTCATATTTACGTAGACATTTAACTCCAATATGAAAGTTAATTACCAACGTAAAAATGCCTTGATACTATTATGTTTAACACGATGTAACAAAAGTAAAATACTGCCAAGAAGGGGGAAAAAGTGAGCTAGAAGTTTAGAGCCATTAAATCACCATAAATTGTAAACGTAGTGCCTTACTCAAATTTAATGTCCGTTATTGAAGGATCAATGGTGAATTGTGGAAAATTTTGTTAAGATGACAAAATTGAGAACTACAATACAAGGGTAAATTTTTCTAACTAAAAAAAATTGAAAAGCCAAAATTTGAGAATTTTCTAAAATCCACGTACAATTGAGATAAAATATATATATATATATATATATATATATACACACTATTAATAGAAGTAAGATTGAGTGTTCAAGGACTAGAATATATTACAAGTAGAACACTTTTTAAAGAGAATTTCTAAATATTTTTAGAATTAAGGTTAAATTACAAATTTAATTTTGAAACTTTCATGTTTGTGTTTAATAAGTTTTTGACATATTCAACATTTTTCAATATTAAATATTCAATGTTTTTGCTCATAGATTTGTGAATTTTTTTTAAAAAAATGTCTATATGACGAGCACAAAATTAAAAGCCAATCTTATTAGACCAAAAAATCTAAACGTTTAGGAACTCATGATATACTTTTTTTAACCTTTAGGATCTTATTTGAACTTTTAAAGTTTGGGGGTTAGAACTTTGAAGAACAGCTAAAGTAAAGAAAAATTATAGTCGAAGTAGGTTTGAAATTTCAAATATTTACTATAATTTATATAATTTTGAATTTACCAATATTTCTAAATAATAACGAATGTTTAGACCAAAAAAAGTTAATAACTTTTATTTTACTATTGTTTTTTATCTTGAAAAGAATATTTATAATCATATTCCCTGATGATCTAAAATAATACTATTGATGACGCCTTATATAGAACACTAAAAATGATGACTTTTGTTCAATGTTGTGTGTGATGCAGGCATAAAGCTGTGAAAGAGTTGTCTTGTAGACTGGCAATCCTGGATGCAGGGGTGAATGTTATCTACTTTTTCTTGTTTTTTTGGGGAATAGTCTTCCATGCCTTTTCTTTAGGGATAATCTTCCGTGGTATCGGCCTATCATATTGTAATGGATATTTGTGTCTTCACCTAGCCTTTTGTGTGTTTAATGAGATTATGTTATTCAAACTAAACTCGTCATCTTCTAATGTGAAATTCTTCAAAATTATCAGTTTCACTTGGCAAAATTTATACTTACAAATCCATTGGATCAAAACCATCTTCATCACATTCATCGTCCACATACTGTAGTTCGTGGCGACCTTCAAACAGAAGAGGGGCAACTTCTCTAGTTCCTTGTTGCCTTCGGTCATTCACCTCTATGGCTGAAATGATCTTTTTCTTTATATTTTCTCCAACAATTTCCCCTTCTGATTGATGAGGTTGCAAGCCAAGAATTGCAAGGCATTCTTCTTTGAAATCCATGTCACTGGAGTATAAAACTAGGCCAGCAATTGATTTGGCAAGATCAGGGGCAAACTTACTGATCTGAAGATGAAAAATGGAAGCAAGTTTAGGAAGCTGCTCTTGATTCCTACGAGAACATGCTAAGACCTGACCATAACCTAAAATTATGAGAAAGCAAGCTCTTATCCTTTTTGCTACAAAGCACTGTTCAGAGTGCATGGCCGGCCATATGTATAATAAAGCAAGTGCCAATTACTTATCGAATGTCTTTAATAGAACACAGAAAAGAAAAGAAAAGAAAAATGCCATATTGAGATTCTGAACAAATTCAACTTCTAATTGCAGCGAACAATTACACATGCAAAAGGATGCATATAGTATTGCGTGCATTTCGAAGATAATTCATCACGATAAAGAAGTCATTTGCCAAACTTAAAACGTGTAAGCAGAATTCTTGGCTAAACTACGTTAGTCCTCGTGAAGGGTTGAGATTTTAAAATAAGTTGAAAATATTATGATCTTCCACAAAAAAGGGCTTCTACTTTAAAACTAAAAATGCACCTGTTTAATTATTAATTTAGTCTGTGCACATGAGACAGTGAAATAGAGATTTACCTTGAGGGTATCGGCACTGAGAAGAACTCCCGCATGTTTATTCTTGAAGTCGTCCAGTGCAAGTTTAACTGCTTTTCTTATGAGTTTTTTATCAAACCGTGTCTTCTGCAACAAAGGCATGGCCTCGAACACAAGCTAAGGCAGAAAACGAATTTTATATACCATACAAAATAACGATCAAAATTATCCTTCTTTATCAACATTCAAACATAAGATTAAATGAATATTATACCTTATCATAGCAGTGGACAACAATATGAATATGAAAAGATAGGGGCATGTGTTCCCACTTTAATAGTGCATGACTTCTTTGATCGATAGCACATTCCAAAGCCAATCCATAACGTTTCCAGTCAATGCCTGTTAATGCCTTCAGAAGTGCCTCGGAGATTGAACAAGGCGCAAAATCTTTAAAACAGAGAACCTATGTAATCATGAGCAATAATCAAAATTAAGCCAGAGTTGCATGGTACTTTCTGAAGCGGAAAGAACGGGAAGGAAGGGAGGGTGATAGGTCAAATAACCTTCGTATCAGAGCATCCTGCTCCAAAGCAATTATTGGTCGGGTTTGGTATTTCACTAGTCACGACCGCTGCCTCCACTACCAGTTTGGTAGTTTTATGCTTGTCTTCACAAACCATTCCACCCCCACTCCTCAGATTATCCCTAAAGTTTGAAATTTGAAAAAATAATAATAATAATATAATGCACATCGTAGGCGAATTTAACAGCTAAATCATTTAAACGATGAGTGCAGACTGGAACAAAGTTTCTTCATATCTCATCAGGAAATTATTTGTATTCTTTATAACCCACCTATAACCAGAGAAGTTCAGTCTAACAACGAGTTGGCGTAAATTAAAGTAACAAACTCACCTGTTAGGGAAACAAGAGTCACAGGCCAAACTGGATCCATGCCTTAATACATAACTCTCAAGGCCCAATTTCAAATGATCGAGAGTTGAAGCTGCAAAAGAGGAACTAGGGGAAAATTTTTCCAGGAAAACAGCATCATTACGTGACCCTGGGACATCCTGGCCGTCGGCCATAACTTCCATTGCAATATTCTTGTGAAATTGAAAAGCTAATGAGTTCCTTTAGTACTAAACCATCGCCATAGGAAACGGAGGTAATTTGGAAATATATATATTCATGTAGATTATGTGAATGGAGCAGCGAGTTCAACTTACTGGGACCTTTAGAACGAGAATCTGCAAAATAAAGGAGGATGAACTCCGGTAAGAAATGCGACTATAATTCAATAAAGAAAAACACCTTGAGAAATGTACACTCTAGAGTTTATTTGAAACACCAAAGGTGTTGATTTGAGATGATTTTAAATTCTGTTCAATATCACAACTATGAGAAATCATAAAACTTCAGAGTTCAAGGAACAAAATTTGAAGTTTACTACAATGACGGGAGAGATCAAAAATGAATATTTTTATTTGCATGGGCTTCCAAAAGATCTACACTAACGACTGATTAGGTTCATCTCAAGCAAGTACATTACAAAACTGATCTTGCTACGGTCTCTTGAAATTCTATCCCTAAAATGAGAGTCGAGACTGCATTGCATGTTTTGAGATATTGCAGACTATCCTAAAACCCTCGTAAACTTCCATTATCAAATTTCAAAGAGCAAAGACCATCTTTTCAATTAAAACTTCATTTTCACCTTCATTTTCTATCTCATTGAACCCACCCTATTGTTTTTAATGCTTAAAAAAGTGTCAGATAAACGAACAGTTCATTGCCATTTTTTTGGTTTGACAGAAGGTGCATGATAGAGGGGTTAATAATTAACTGCTTACGAATGCCCTTACAATTCTCCTTAGAAACTATGGGTAGAGGCTGGCCTTTAAAGTAGTTTTGAGCAATAGTCACAGTTACAGTCCATGATAGGAGGAGTGCAAGAGCAGAAGTCTACAACTACCCCTGACTCCGAACTTGATATTTCATCTCAGGTCTGATTCATTTTGTTTTGTATGAGGCAATCTAGCTAATTGCCGCTTAACTAGGCAGTGCCCCACATGGAAGTATACATATTGACTTATTCATTTTGTGAAAGCAGCAAGTAAAACCGTAGAATTTCAGCGAAGGTGGCAAAGAGGAGAAAACATATGAAAAATATTTAAGCAGTAAAATAGCTGGCATACTGCAAAGAAAAATAGTTAAGATACAATCAAATGTTATCCTAAGACAGAAATGAGTAAATAGATTCAGCCATAAAGAAGAAAGAGACCTTCTGAAAGAAGCAGTTGAACTCCTCCAGCAAAACATCAACACTTTCAGAAACAGACAAACACACTTCGGTTCCACTAGTTCACGTATTTTAAAAAATCCGATTACTGCCTATTCCAAATAAAAATAAAGAGAAGTGACCAAAAAGTTAAAATGGTTCCATGCCTGAATTTCACACCATGCTTAATGTTCGAAGGTAGCAGAATTGGCTTCCTGGTAGTGACATTCTCTTTCAGATTCAACTCATAACAACTTATCTCTTTATCACAAATATCTGCAATCTCTACAGGGCGTTAGTATATGCACAATAGGTACAAGATTTAAAAAACAGAGTACAACTTCATGAAGCAAAACTACGCAAAATAAATATAATATGCTAGAAAGGCTTGTAAATTGTCGATAAATCAGTTTCTTTTCATCAATTTAGAACATCATCTTCTTTCCTTAAGTATCCATTCACACTAAACTTATCTTACACCTATGCTGCTATGCACTTAGGAATTGATCTAGAAATTCAGCATACAGTAAAAATGTACAAAATGTGCTGATGAATGATTAGGAAGGGATCTCAGTTCTAGGACACAGCTAGTGACTCTTCCTTGGAGGTGTTGAAGCAGATGCTAAATTCATTCTTCCCCGAGCCATTAACTTCAAAGTAATTTTGAGGAAATGGAACTTACTTGTAGTTCTCACATAAACAATTCCGTCTGCATAAAATAGCGGAGATGTATTAATCAACATAGCAAACCCTACGGCAGAGTATTTAAATAATTTTTCAACGTGAATATAGATACATATAACCGAGATAACTTCAACAAACAATTATAAATGTGATGAAGAATTGTTTTCTGAATGCAGCTTTTCGAGAGGACGATGGTTGGACTTGCTGTTTGTGGTAAGCCTCAGCTTAGCTTATTTGACTAAGGAGAAAATATAATCGCTGGTTAAACATGTATGCTCGTGTTGCCTTATAGGTAGGAAGGTAAGAAAAGTTGCACATACTCACGAAAACAATGAAGATGTCTACAGCTATACATGAGCTACTGCATTGAATGGCAGGATAAGAAAACAATAAAACAGTAACACGAAGAATAATGAAATGATGTAGAGGTACTAATCAAAATATTTTAGTAATCATCAAGTGCTGCCAGAGCGCTACAGGAGTAGAGTCAATTACTCACTCCATGTTTCGGCAAGGATACCTTCAACGGGGCACTTCAAATTCTGAAACTCCTCTATGCAGCTTCCAAGGCCGGTATCTGAAACTACATCGAAAAAAAAAAATCTAGAAATAATGTTTGGAGAAATGAATATTACTCGGTGCGAATTTTTCTTCATAATTTTTCAAGCTTTGGTGCTTCCTTCAGAACCGAACGTAACTAACTGAGAACAGAGTCGTCAAAATGTGTTATAAACCAAAATTGAAAAGGACTTGATGAGATTTTTAATATTTCCAGAATCGCCGGCGACAAAGAGCGTGGGAAATCACTTACTAGAAATACGAACTAGTGGAGGATCGGAAGCGGGAGAGCGTTGCAGAAGAACTGAGAGTCTGCAAAGTCGTTCGGAGCAGATGCATCTCCGTATTGCCAAAGAAATTAGCTGCACTAAGCAAGTTCAGGAAGAGTATTCTTCAAAATCTCTCGTGCTTTAAGTCTCACAAAACAAAAAAACAAAAAATAAATATCGGTCTCAGTTCAACAAGATTGAACTTACTAGTAGGCAGAGGTCTTGAAGAGAAGCAAATTCCATGGTTGCAGCTTTGAGAGGATGTTAAAACCAACTCCCGCGCGCCCGTAAATAAAACATGCACCACGGTTTTCAATTCAAATCTTAGTTTTATACGATTCAAGTTGGGCCGGCCCACGAACAAAAATTTCCTAACGAGGGCCCAGTCCACTGAGAACGTTTTCGGTTCCGCACATATATTCTTCCATCTTTTAATTTTTAAAAATTATAGTGCAAAACATTATATTATATTTTAGTTTATGAAATATTATTTGATTTATTGATGTTTTGAAATTATATTATATGGTGAAAATTACTAATTATAAAAATTCTTTAAATTAATAGTTTTTTTATTAAAAATATATAAAACTGGAAAAAGATTGTGTAAATTTTTTATGGTTAATCCACTATTTGATCCTACAAAAATTCTAAATTCTAAAAATAAATGAAGAATTTCAAGTAAACAAGTACCACATTGCCTTTGAACTATATTTATTGTGATAACTATGAAGATAATTAAAAATGTTTGGAAACAATATTTTGTTTTAAAAAAACATAGTACTGTTTAATTTGACATAATTAGTTACGTACTTTTCTTGTAAAAAAAAGTTCCCATAATAAAAGAAAACAACTATATATTTTATATATTCTTCTAGCCAAAGTAAACAATTACATAACTAAGAAACATGTACTAAAAGGCCCCGAACCTGAGTCACAATCCACTGACTTCAAATAAATAATTTCATACTGAAGAGAGGCAAATGAAATGTTCTGACGATGGCCCCTTGGAAAGAAATTAGATATCAATATTACCCCAGAGGATATACGGCTAACTTTCCTGCGAACCTAGTTATACAAACTCGAGGGTGAAAACCAAACATGTAGCCAACTTCAAAGTTTGCAATGATAAGATTTCGGATACCACAATACTATGCTTAAGGGAGCTACAATGCGCTAGCTATTTTTGCTAAATTAAGTGAGGTAATACAAATGTTGGAAAAAAGACGATCCAAAAAGAAAGGGAAAAAAAATACTGAATGTAACCTGACTGGCAAAAAACCAGGAAGTATCTTGTATGAGTCTACTTTTCATGTGGGCATAAAGATTAAACATCTATGGAGTTTGTATCCATCATGTACAGCACAAACCAGTTCAAAATCACAGATAAGTTACAAAGGCTTTGCGCTCTTGACCGTGTATTACTTTTGATTCAGCGACCATATATCCCGTGACGCTTAAAAAACTCTCTGAATCCGTAGGCACTGGGGTCATAGTTGAACTGGATAAAAGAAAATAAACAAATCAATGAAACAGAAACATAGGTCAGTGAAGGATCCCATTTACTATTAGAAGCTTAGCTTGCGGAATTGAGAACTTCAATATTTTCCAGCAGAGAAAACTTCATTAGGCCTTATTTGGGTTAAAAGCCAGCCAATCATTTTAAAATACCATATGTTCAATGGTAAATAATGTTAATAAAATCAGGTGAAAAAACAGGACATCCAAATCAAATGTTAAGTTCGTTACATAAACTTCTTTTAGTGTTGCTGGGATGGGATGTAAGAAGGGGAGATGCTGTGGAAAATGGACAATGACCATACGTGAAAGCATCAGCAATGAGAAATGAATTGATAAATTGAGTATGCTTAGGTTAACAGAGCATGAAAACTTACGGGTAGAACCTTCACCGAGTACTTCGTAATGTTAGGATCAGAAATCTTTCCCTGGCTAGATGCCTGCACAAAAAATATTGAATTCAAATCATTAATAAATGGACTGAGAATGAAAACGGTAAGGTATACACATTTTCTTTTAGCATATAGATAAGTACTATTTTACGGCAGTATTGATAGAGTTTGCCTAGCTTCCATTTAAGACCGTATCTCCCATAAGCTTGTTGTTTGCAATACAATGTTTCTAAATGTAAAAACAACGTAAAATGGAACAAATCCATCTTCTAAATAAAAAAAATAGTCAATATTTTCTTGAGCATTAAAGCAGCAATGTTCATTAATGGTTCCATTATCTGTTGGTTCGCTGTGCTTGCAAGAAATGAAATGCAAGCACAATAATGTTGGATTAAAGCCACTTGTTCTGGATACAAACATGTGAAGAAAGTTTTATAGAGACCACAGAGCTAGAAGCCACCATCGCAGCACGAATTACTTCAGTACTTTTACTAAACACAAACAAACAAACAAAAACGTTTCTTTGATCATTCAGACAACAAAATGCAAAAAAATCATAAATCAACCATCAAGGCAAAGAAGAAAAATGATCGCCTACATTATCAAATTTTAGCCCTTTCCCTTAAGCTGTTATCTTTTGTCAATATGAATTTGCTTCTGTCTGTTTCATATTAAAAAAAATGCATTATCACATTTTATGGCCAACTAAAGTTCAAGATAAATTGTATACAGCATTGACAAAAGTAAGCACAACATTATTCAAGAAAGAGCTTATTTTCCCATTAATCAAGAATTGGAAACAAAATCATATACGGTTACACTGGAAATCAAACTAAGACAAAACACAATCAGATGGGCAGTCCTACTTGTTTTGGGCTATGAAACATCTCGATAAATGGATATTCCTTTCTCTGCCGTGAAATGCAGAAACCAGGATACTTTGGGCACTCAACCTGAAGTTTAAACGTGAGATCGAAGTCACAAGAAAGTAAACACAAAAAATGCAGTGGCATATTATGATGTTGTCTATTGTTTCGAACTATTGACTAAATCCATGGATCACAGAGGCACAATGATAAAATGACCGTTACAATGAAATTAAGAAAACGGCTCAAGGAACATTTTCATAAAAAAAAATGACAAGAAACATAAGAAAACGGCTTAAAGAAGATCAAGGAAGTTATATGGATATCTTGTAATGAGAAATCATAAATTTGTGCATGGTGATTTCAATATGCACAATAAGATTAACATTAACAAGTCATTCTATATATTTTCGAATAACATTTAAAAAAAAAAAAAAATTAATAACCCCAAAAGGCAGAAACATTTCAATACAGATGGGGCATCAATTAGAGGAAGCGGAGTTTGAGACGTACCCCCAGACATATAAGCATGCTCAAGAGACATGTAAGTCAATAAAAACAGAATGCAATGTTTTTTTATTACTATTTTAATCTCTGAAATAAAGTAAAATAAATAGGGGCAAAAAAATGATGCAAAGGATGACAAATGTGATTAAATAATAAGAAAAATAAAAATAAATCAAACAAACCATTGTAAAAGTTCTATAACTCAGTTAGACTTCAGAAGAAATAAAGCTGTTAAAAGATAAGAAAAGAAAAACGTCAATAAATCATGGCATGTCGGGTACTCCTATCATAAGAAAATGACTTACACGCATAAATTTCACAGTCGGATAAAACTCAACCGCAGCTTCCTCCAATACTTTGTCAAGATGCTTTGTGTAATTACCTCTATAGAATTAAACATGAGCATTTAACCTAGAGAACAAAAGGAAGGTGCTAATACGAACAATATTCATGTACCTGACTGTAAAAGCAACAACGACTGGATAACCTTCATGAAGGAGCTGGACAAACTCACGTTCAGATGTAAAATGTATGACCCTTGAAGGCCCAAGATCTTTTGGGAAACCAGTATAGTATCTATAACAAGTAGAGGGATGTGGAATAAGCAAAATTGTGAAGAAAAAAAAAACAGACTACAAAGAGTCGTATCTCACAAAAGTAGAATGCAGTCTGGAAGAAAAGTTTATCCTAATCATGTACCTTTGACCATTATAATGCTAAATACAACTCAGAAAATCGGCTCTTGCCTAAAATGAACAAAAATGCTTATCTTCATGGAACATGGACATGGAACTCCAAATATCCTCATCCAACAACAGAAACTAATAGATGAAATGATCCAAGCTTAACATAAATAAATATAAGAGAGAGAGTAACTCATAGTTCAACTTCTCAAATATAATAAAGTGATTGTTAAGGGGAACCCAAAATAAATATAAGACTTTCCTGGATTAGAGGGTTCGGAAGGGGTGGAAACCCAAAATGTTAACAGTTTCATTTTAATCTAAGGAGAACTAAAAGGGCCCCTCTTTCCATTTTCCTCTGCCTAGATGGATATGAGGTTAGTTCACAACATCAGATGAGAGGTGGATTAGATGTTTGAAGGCAACTAGAAATTGTTCTTATGACAGTTGAGTTATTGATATTAGTAAATTTACCACAACCTATCCGCTTAAGCTTTTGGGTTTATTGGTGACTTAACATGATTTCAGAGCAAGAGGTCATGTATTCAAACCTTTGTAATCTTATTTTCACCCCAATTAATATCAATTTCCACTTGTTGAGTTTTTTTACAATTTTTCGAGCTCACAAGCAAGGAAGGGAGAGTGTTGAAGTATTGATACAATTAAATTTAAGGTAAACTATCAGCTTGAGCAATCACAATGAGATGGATTGCCTGGGCGGAAAATGGCAGGTTAGTAACATGGTGCCGCCTCGTAGAAAGCATAACAGCAAGATGATCAAGGAAGAGATCAACAGTGGAGTGAAAATAGATTATTTGAAGGGATTGATTGGATGCAGATGAAAATGGGGTCACATCCATTCTAGTAGGAAGTAAATTTCGCGTGTCATAATCATAGAAACAACTACTGCTAAAAGAGCAAAAATGAAGAGCTGCAAAGCCCACAGAGTGCTTATTCAATCATATTGCTGATATCAGGGGTCAGACTTCCCAATTCCTTGCCCCGAAAAAAGATAATAACAACAACATCACATACTTGCATGTCGCACGAAGGTGAATAAGCATTCTATCCAAAAATTTTGGGTCTCCCATCTGATCAAATCGTGCAAACAATCAACTTCTCAGTGTCCTACAAATATCAACATTGCATTTATCACTGGTGAAATCTCGCAGATCAAACCATTAGCAGAGTATGAAAAGTAGAGGAAAACAAACAAACTAAAGCACACATCCAAATTAAACTATAGAAGCCGACAAACCATAAAATTAAAAGGGGAAAAAAGGATAACTATCAACCTTCAATCACGGAATTACATAAGGACGTGCAGTGGGAAGG